GGGGTGCGGGCGGGCGCCAGCGCCAGCGCCATGAACGCGGCAGTGGTGCGGCGGACGCAGGAGGCTCTGGGCAAAGTGATCCGGAGGCCGCCGCTCACCGAGAAGCTGCTGAACAAGCCTCCGTTTCGCTACCTGCACGACATCATCACTGAGGTGGGCGCGGGCTTGGGTGCGGGTCAAATCAGACACAGGTCGAGGTGGGGTGAGGGAAGGGATAGAGTGCGGGACTGGACGAGGGCGGGGGTAGGGTGCCGGACCGGTTAAGGGTCAGGGTAGGTTTGGGACTGATTGAGGCTTGGGGTAGGTTGTGGGACTGGGTGAGGGTCGGGGTGAAGGTTAGGGTTGGCTGCGGACGAAGTGAGTGTCCGGGTGAAGGTCTGGATGAGGTGAGGGTCCGGGTAGGATGCGGATCTGAATAGGATGCGGGTTGGGGTGAGGGTCAGAATGAGGATCGAGTCAAGGTGAGTGTTCAGGTAGAGTGAGCGTCCGAGTAGGGTGACAGTCAGGACTCAGGTGGAAGTGAAGATTAGTCTCGGGGTGCAGATCTAGACTGAGGTGAGTGAGGGTCAGGCCCCGGGTGCTGGTGGAGCCAGAGTGGGGTGAGGGTGGAGATGCAGGTCCAGGTGAGGGTGAGGGTCAGGGTTGGGCTTCAGTTGGAGTCAGGGTAGCATAGAGGATGCTCGTTAGTGTGAGGGTCAGGATTGGTTGCAGGTTCGGGTTGGGTTGGAGGGTCAATGCCAAGTGCGGGTCTGAGGCCTGGGTCTGGTGCCAGGCTGATAGGGAGGGTGCTGAATCCAGGGTCTAGGATTGATTGTAGGTTTGGAGGGCCGGTTACAGGCCAGGTTGTGGGCCCGGTTCAAGGTGAGGTTCCAGGCTAGAGGCTGGGTCAAGTGGTCTGTGTGGAGATCTAAGGGTCAGCGTCCGGGTCTGAGTCTGGAGTCAGGCTGTAAGTTCGGGGTTGCTGGGGCCAGAAGCTGAGACTGGGGTGGGGATGGAGGCCAGGGCCAACATCAGTATGTGGGGCTGAGCCCTGGAACAGGCCTGGGGCGCAGGGTCAGGGTGCTGTTAGGAGCTGGAGTGTGTGTTGAAAGCCTGGAATTGGGCTCTGCTTATAGTTGAGTATAAGGTAGGGTGGAGGTCCTTGTCTGGGGCCTGACTGAGAGCTTGGCTAGGGCCATGGTGTCTTCCATTTTGGAGACTCAAGCCTACAAGCTCTTGGGACCTGCCTTACTTTGCCACCTCTTACAAGGAGACTTCTGGGCTCCCCTAAAAAACACTCATATTTTTTTCTTCCCACTTACCATTGTGTCTCTTTAGAGCATGACTTCCGTTTGTTAGTGAATCTCCTGGGAGCTACCCTGGATGAGGTACATAGCATTGTACAACAGTCACAATTGTGTGGAGTCTGTCAGGGCTCCTGGTAGCTCCAGAGTATCGCTGCAGGGGGTGAGCCCAATTGGCATGGTCCACAGGGTACTCTGGAACTTGGGGTGTTGTTGGGACTTATTAGTCAGTCTCCAGAGCTCATGGTCTCCCCTGGTGTTGTCCCTCCTCCTCTCAGCTGGTTGAGCATCTTTGCCCACCCTTTGCTTGACTCATTTTGGCCCTCCTACCTTAGCTTGTAATGGGTGCTGTCGAGGAACATGGCCCTGTCTGTTAGCAGTCTTAGGTGTGTCCAGGAATACTCTAGAATCTATCTACTCAGATACCGAGGAACTCCGCTGGCTGATCAAAGGGACTGGCTGTGGGAGCCCCAGGAAGCAAGCATTTGCTGTCCTCCAACACGAAGGAGCCGGGAAGAGTTAGCCAGTCTGGCACCGGCCTATTACAGTGGAGAGTCTGCCAAACCTGTGCTTTTCTTCTGTACCGTCAGCCCATGACTTTCTGAGTGCACCTCGTCCTGAAGTCACTCAGGAATGGAGTGGGGCTGGTGGGAGGTAGGGAAGGAGAAGCAGAAGAGATGTGCAGGTAGACAGATAAGGTATGAGGTGCTTTTCTTCTAGACTTTTCTGGATCCAGTGGTGAAGCCAATATGTTCTGGTATAAAGATAAGTATACTAGCTGTCACCTCCTTGTCAGAGTTGACCTGCTTGGAAATATTTTCAGATCACAGGTAGAGAGCCTCCTGGTAGGTTCTTTTCTCTCCCTGAATATTATATTCAAGTCACCTTCATGGGTTAACTACAGCTAGCTGGCTGTTTCTTCATTAAGTAAGCCTCTGTTCTGTGATATGAATGTCTCTTGTTACAGTTACTGCTCACAGTTTAAACTGCTGTTGTCCTGAGGGTGGTCCCCATGCCAGCTACCTTCTCTAAACCTTAGGTCAGGATGCCCTGGTAGTCCCCATGCCAGCTACCTTCTCTAAACCTT